CTGAGAAACTGAATTTGAAATATGAATTTAAACTGAAAATGGATACTTGCTCCAGCTACCAGAAAATAGCAGAACTTCCAAAGCTGACAATCTCCCTACATTGACCACCCCTTAAGATGACCTAATTTTCACAGATTAGACATGCACCACATGTATGTAACAGTACAGTAGAGCTAGTTCCTTATGTTGACCACCTCTTTTGTTAACTATTTTTTACAATCCCTTAGGTGGTCAACTTATAGAGGTTCTACTATACTTGGAACCACCTGGGTATGTGAAATTACTTTTTCAACGATCAGTTTTATCAAGTCAAAATGCAGATCAAGTATTTCTTATGAAAATCAACCATCTGTCTTAAGGTGTGTTTTAAGTGTAAAATAAAGTGTTTTGACAATTTAATATGAAAAGAGATATAAAATATAGCTCATTAATAATTTTTCAATATTGATTACAAGGTGAAATGATAATATTTTGGACATAAATGAGTTAAATATATTACTGAAATTAATTTGATCTATTTCTTTTTACTTTTCAAAATTTGGTCAGCAGAAAATTTATAATTACATATATAGCTTGTGTTATATTTCTACTGGGCAGTACGGAAGTAATTATTTGTCCTAGAGAGTTCTTTAACATTTGTCCCAGAATTTGCTGACTGCATTAGTGTCATTTAGCATATTTCTTACTCTCCTGTAGTTAATGTAAACTGGTAGTTTAGGTAGTTCAAAATGTCAGTAATGCAGAGGTTGAGATTTTCTGTTCTCCAGACCTACTTGGATCAAAATTTGATTTTTTTGTAGGATTATTCCACAGGTGGTAGAGGTGTCTTTTTATCAAGATACAAATAAATATCTAGCTGCCTTTTTATGATGCTAACAGCTAATATGCTACTTTGATTCACTGGCAGCTGAAAAGTGGTTTTATTTTAAAGAAGGACATAATTCCTTCTTTATTAGCTAAATTAATTCTATAAACAGAAACTTCCCCTCATTATTTATTTATCTTAAATAAGAGTTCTCATAGGAAAGGCAGTATAAATGTGAAATTCTCTCTTTATACTTACCATTTTCCAAAATAATGAGCTGGTTTCCTAATGTTTTATAAAATGATCAATATTATTTTATTTTAGTATCATTATAAATTTATAGATTTAAGTATTTTTGATGTGTTTCCATCTATTATTCCTTCTTCTAAGGCCAGGAGAAGATTTTTTTTTTTTTGAGACAGAGCCTCAAGCTGTCACCCTAGGTAGAGTGCTGTGGCATCACAGCTCACAGCAACCTCCAACTCCTAGGCTCAAGTGAGACTCCTGCCTTAGCCTCCTAAGTAACTGGGACCACAGGCACCCACCACAACGCCCAGCCATTTTTTGGTTGCAGCCATCATTGTTATTTGCCAGGGCTGGATTTGAACCCGCCACCTTAGGTGTATGTGGCTGGCGCCGTAGCCACTTGAGCCACAGGCACCATGCCAGGAGAAGATTCTTCATGTAAGCTCTTGAGTCTTGTTAATAACCAAGTCATCTCTGATCATTCCTTTGCTATTTGGTATGACAAAATGATCAAGGCTAAACTTATATACCATTTCTTTCCTTGAACCTAAATTCAACCATTTCTCCAATGGGCCATTTTAGCAGAAAATAGAATTGAGGCCATAATCTAGGTAGAAGAGGTAGGAAACTTTTTTTTTTTTTTTAAGAGACAGAGTCTTACTTTATCACCCTCAGTAGAGTGCTGTAGTGTCATAGTTCACAGCAACCTCCAACTCCTGGGCTTAGGTGATTCTCTTGCCTCAGCCTCCTGAGTAGCTGGGACTACAGGTGCCTGCCACAATACCCGGATATTTTTTTGTTGCAGTTTGGCTGGGGCTGGGTTTGAATCCACCACCCTAAGTATATGGGGTCAGCACCCTACCCACTGAGCCACAGGTGCCACCCAACAAACTTCTTTTTTTTTTTTTTTAAAGAGAATATGAGCTAATTCTGATGTTTACAATTCAAATGAAAACTGTAAGGTTATTATCTTCTTTGTTTTCTATCTAAAACTCTTTTATGATAAAAATATTAATGATGTAATTACTTACTGGCTTTATATTTTCAGAATAACATTACAAATATTATTTACACTATTATTACTGAAAATAGTAAGTTTTTTTTGGTAATACTTTTTGTCCTTAGAATCAAATTACTGCTTTAAAATCATTTGTGAGGCCATACATGTACTACTAACTCAAAGACAGATGCATTTCTTTCATTTTGTTTTTGCTGTTTGTCTTTTGTGTTTTTTTTTTAATCAGGCCCAGGATAGGTTTCAACTCGCCACCCCTGGTCTGTAGGGTAGGCAACTCTAACCACTGAGCTTTGACACCTACCTTGCTAAGTTTGTTTTTTATAAAAATTTTTGTTTTGTTGGTAGAAGGTTACAAAGTAGAAAAGAAGTAAGATCTGTTTAGATGAGTGTAGCTTTTAACCTTGTCTTTTCACACCCCCATGACAATTTAAAAAGCAGATTTTAGTTTATATTGTAATTTTTAAATAAGCAAACAGATAGTTATCACTTTCCTGACACTTTCTTGTAAAACGGTAGCACAGTATACACACTTTTCTCCCCTTCCTTTTTCCATCTAACAATGTATACCACATGATAGCAGGATGTTGAGATATTCAAGCTGTCTTTTTTATTTCCATTTGTCTGATCTACCTTTGCCTATATACTTATTAAACAACTTTCATGATGTATAATTTACATATCATAAAATGTACTCATTTTAAGTGTACATTTCAATGCTCTTAGTAAATTTACAGAGGTGTGTAATCATTACCGCAGTCCAATATTATTTCCATCATTCAAAAAGTCCCTTGCATCCATTTTTTTATATTAAACCTTTCTTTTAGACATATCACTCTAATTTCGCATAGTGTTAGAATTTACTTCCAAAAATTTTTCTTGGAAAATTTCTTATCCATTTTCATTTGGCAATATACTGGTAATTGATATTTGGCCTTAGTTCTGCCACTATTCTATGTCGTATTTGTCTATAGGACCTGTTTTATTGCCCCTCCAACCTATTGTCTGCATATCAATTTATCTTTTTAGTATTTAAGAAGGCTTCTATTTTTATTCTAAAGGGTAACTTTATGTAAATACTTTCTATAATGTAACATCCTTACCAACTTTTTGGGAAGATATTGTCTATTGGCTCTTCACTATAAATAATACTGAAATTCTCCCTCATTTTTCTCTTCCAAGGCCTATAATATGAACATCCTTTTATTTCCTCTAATTTGCTTATATTATTTCCCCTTGTCCCTTTTCAGAGAATTGTGCTTTATACTCTCAGACTTATAACTCCATAGTACACATTTTACTGTCTCCTTCCACTATTATGTAGCTATAATTCTCAGTAACAAGTTTTGTTCTGTGAAGGAGTTTCACTTAGTCTGAGAGTTCACATGGTTAGATACCACAACATTACCCGAGATTTCTGGAGTCTATAAAGTTGCTCTCAGCTTCAGGGGCTTCAATTGATCTGCTGTGCTTTTTCTGTACCTAATGTGGCCTCTCCTCTCTTTAGAGCTGAATACCTATTGGCAACTTGATTTTTAGGTTCTCTGGGCTTTCCCTTGTTGGTACACTATTCTCGTCTTGATGCTGCTATCTCACTCGTATTTTGGAGTTCAGAGGTCTATAATAAAGAATTTGGTCTTTGCTGCTGGTTTCTCTGAAGCTCTGGGGGTTGAGTGATAGGACAGTCTTTATTATTGATGAGCCACTTGGATCATCCTTGAGTTTATTATGAGGATATGACTCAGAAGAGGGGTAGAAAACGCCAGAAAGACCAACTTTATGATTAGAGGGTGGGGTCTTTGAACTATAGTAGAACCTCTGTAAGCTGACCACTCAAGGAATTGTAACAAACTGGTAAACCTAAGGAAGTGGTCAGTGTAAGGAAATGGTCACCTATGAGGGTTCTACTGTACGTAGTATTAGCCGAACTTCCCAAACTCCAGGGAGAGGTGCTGGAGATTGCGCTCAAGTACATGAGGAATGATTCAATCAACCATACATAACTAATGAAAGCCCAGTAAGAACACTGAGTACTGAAGCTCTGTAGATTCCTGATTGGGGAACATATAGATGTGCCAGGAGGGTGATGCACCCTGATTCCACAACAGCATGAAAATTCTGTGTTCAAGACCTCCCTACAACCTTGCTGTGTGTATCTTCATTTGGCTAGTCCTTCTTTGTAACTCTTAAAACTATCATCATAAATACAGTGTTTTCCTGAATCCTAAGTCATCCTAGCAAATTACTACATCTGAAGGGGTCATGGGAATTCCTAAATTTGTAGTCAGAAGTGCAGGTGAGTTGGGGACTACTGAACTGGTAGTTAGTGTCCTAAGTAAGGGCAGTCTTGTTGGAAACTGTGGTAGAATTTGCCACCAGCTCTCAGCCTCAGAATAGTATCAGAATACATCAATAAGGATACTTTGAAACTTAGTTTTGTTGTATGTGTTATCCATAGGTTTGCTGTTATATTATCCTAGTTGTGTTTCTATTTTGGGGATAGGATTTTGGAGATTAAAAGGCAGCCATTCTTTTTTTTTTTT